GCTGGCCGGGCGGCTCCTCGGGGAACATCTGTGCCCCGTGCTGTCAGCACAGCTGGCCGGCTGGAGACAAGCGGCCATTATAAAGGCGCGGTGGCTGGGGGATGGCGAGGGGCCGCGGAAGCAGCTCCGGGACCGGTTCGCACGTGCCCAGGACACAGACCGCCGGCCTCTGGGCACCGGGCTGCGTAGGGAGCCCTTGGCCCGGCCTTCCTGACCTGGAGCGGGACCCGAGCTCTGGATGGTGTGGTCTCACCAGTTCCCACCTCCACCCTCCTGGCCTGGCGCAGGGACCCACGCGGGCCGGTGCTCAGGCACGGGGCACGCACCGCGCAGGGTCTGAGGTGCTTCCACACACGCCAGGACCCCGTGCCAAGGCGCGGTCGCCCAGGGCCAGGCCCCCTGAGCACCTCCTTAGGGGCAGGAGGGCCGTGGCGAAAGGACGCGCAGGTGGACGAGCCGTGGCCCCTGCGGGGCGAGACTCGGCCTCTGGGATGGCTCCTGAGCGGACCCGTGCCGGCGCCATCCCAGGCAGGGCTACTCCGCGCGAAGGGCCTCTGGCCCGCCCGGGCAGCAGCTGCCAGTTTGCGAAATGGATTCCCTGCGCTGAGTCCCAGAGCCCACCTCGCCCCCCCCCACCTATGCGGCTGCTCGGTGCTGCCCACATGGACCAGCCACCCCACCCTTCCCCCGCCACCGCGGGCCCTCCTTAAATAGCCACCCCCTCCTGCTGCCCAGTGTAACGCCTGCACCTCTTCACAGCTGCCATGGTACCGGGGATCCGGGCTGAGCTGTGCCAGCAGCGTTGCAGGCAGCGGCCTGCGGGTCTGAGCACCAAAGGGGGTTCCGGGCGAATGGTTCCTGCAGAACTTGACAGTTTATTTACCCAAGGCAGCACCCCAACATCTTAGCCACCCCCAACTTCGGACCTATTGCCAGGCTCCTTGGGCAGAGTGTGGGGGACCCCACCTCTCCGCTCAGCCAGTCCCCTCTGGCCCCACATCTGGCCTGGCGGCCTTGCAAACACAAGCAGGCCGTGCCACCGGAGCCATCCGAAGGCGACAGAACGGCTCGCTGCCTCGTGCGTGCCCATCCATGGGGAACCCCTCCATCAGTGCCTTGGGTGTGGCCAGGGTGCAGTGCCGTCCCCAGTACAGGCCGGCTGGGAATGAGGGCTGCTGCAAGAGTGCAGGGACCCCAACGCTACACTCTTTCAAAATGCTCCTAGATGAAACCGTGGGACAGTGCTCTACAGTGACAAATGGTCTCCTTCGCACCCGAATGCCCACTCCCTGGGGGACCTCCAAGCCCCAGGAACCCTCTGGTGCAGCCCCAGCCCCCTGGGGACCCTCTGATGTTCCACAGAGGCCCCCAAAGGACTGAGAGCACCACTTCCCATCTGTGAAGGCCTGGGACACTTGGATTTAGATAGAGAAAGAAATCAAAGCACAAGCGTGGGAGAGAGAGGAGAAGGCAAACTGGCTGTCACTTAGGGGTTAACTTACTGTCCATTTGGAAAACCCATAGAAGCAACTGGGAGGGGATGGATGCGCACAACCTTAAGGAAATTTGTCCAGGTGCAAAATTAGAAGACAGGAATCGGCTGCCTTCTCGTGGAGAAAGAAGAGCAGCCACGAGGCAAGCTGACGAGACAGACCGCGTTGCTGAGGGAGGACTCAGGCAGGAACAGCGCTTGGGAGAAGTATGGCGAGAACTTCACAGTGCCCTGTGCTGTCTGCAGACACGCCTGTGCAGATATGCCCGTACATGCACACACAGACTCACAGATGGCAGAAGACAAGCCCGCCACGTGCTTGGGTCAGACTCATCCTCCAGCTCCAGATCCGACCAGTGGCATCTGTATACAGAGCACACCCCTAGTCGAATCGCTGGTGGCTTCAAAGCAGAGAAGGGACATCTAACTCTGCATGGAACAAGCCAGAAGAGGGCACACCTATTGATCAAACCACTAATGAATGTCATCAGATATTAAAGTGTACGATAAATTGGTCTTTAAGGTTACAGGCTGTTGGCAAGTGAATAATTGGAAACTTCAGAAACAGGCCCCAGATCCATGCTCACACATTTTATAAGGGAAACACAGAAACAACCTGGAGACGCATGGTTTTTCTACAATATCTGTAAGATAAGGGAGTGGTCAGCTTGAAAAACCAGGAAACAGACCTACCCACCACCAAATTTGAGTCCAGAGGAGTTGTGGGCTTGCCTTTAAGGAAGAGCAAAGAGCACAATGCGAGAAGAGTCCATGGGAGTGGATTTTCATTGTATTGAGCAAGGAGATTTCGATACAGCACGAGCCCATCATCCTTGTAAAAGGCACCAGAACGTCTGTGGGAAGCATCTGGCGCAGAGCAGCTCCGTGACGCAGAGGCCCCGCCAGTGAGTTGAGGGCATGGGGCGAGCCTACACCGATGCTCAGCTCCGCCCACAACAGGACAGGACGTGTGCCCGGACCCCTCCCAGAGAGGCTGGGAGGGAGGCGGGGTTCGCCTGTCTCAGTGTCGGGAGGCCCCACCTCAAGGGAAAGGACTGGCAAACCTGCCCAGATCAGGAGCATGCCCAGCGTCTGTCTCAGCCACTGTGAGTTC